CCGTCAAAGAAACACTGACGCAGCTCGAATGGGAAACTCTTCCTCACCCAGCGTACTCACCAGACATAGCGCCTTCTGATTACCACTTGTTCAGATCGATGCAGCACGGCTTGAGTGGTACACGCTTCCGAAATGTTGAAGAAGTGCGAGAATGGGTGGACGAATGGATTGCTTCGAAACAAACATCGTTTTATCGAGATGGTATCGCCCAGTTGCCAGAAAGATGGCAAAAAGTTGTAGAAAGTGATGGAAAATACTTTCATTGAAATAATTTAAATAAATTTTTTACAATAAATGCTTTTTCTCAGTATTTTTTGGGCGGAAACTAAGTTAAGGTCCTAATACATTCAATACATGTGCTTGGTACTTTTACCTTAACGATCTCTGATTTTCTTCGAGTGCAATTCTGTTCGAAAGCGGAGCGACAAAGCCGAGGTCAAGTGATATTTCACTCCATGTAGAGTGAAATACTTCTTCCACTCTGAATCGCAGAATGAATATTTTTATTCGAAATTGAGAAGTAAATCTGACGTGATCCACCGTCTCTGGAGCAAATTCGCTTTAATCGACTGAAAGATCACTCGTACGGATTAAGAACTCATTATAGGTTTGAGTTAAATATTCCCTTCTGTGATTCTGAGTGGTAGTATTTTCATCATCGTTTCGAGGGTGAATTCTCATTCGTCCCGAGTGAGATTCCATTCCAGGAAATTTAGAGAGTATAAAGCCGAGACGCGCGGTTTCTCGAGACGAAAGAGAAAGTGTTCTACTGACGAACATTTTCTCTGGGAAAAATAACATGTCATACAGATGGCGATTCTTAAGTGCTATTATCATGTTTAATGCATGATATATATATATATATATATATATATATATATATATATATATATATATGATTATATCTTTTTTTTGTTTCCAGCTTTCAATTTCTACTATTATCGGATTACTATTATTATATGTTTCTATTCTCCCTCCTTCCTATCTTACTAGCTTTTCTTGCCTTTATATTTTTATTTTAATATTTTCTTTAATATAATTTCTTATCTCCTTCTTCTCAAGCTTTCCGTATCCCATTTTACTCCCTTTATCATGATGTTATTTATCCTTTTCTTTCTCTCTTTCCTCTCGTTCAGCCACTCCAAATTTTTTATCCACTTTTCCAGTCTTGTCGTCTCTTGCTTCCATTTTTCTTTCTTTTTTCTTCTCTCTTGCTCTTTTTTTCTATTATCTCTACCATTACTTGCTCTATCATTATTTTCATCTGTTCTTTCATTTCCATTCTCATCCCTTCTATGTCTTCTTTCACTACTTTTCTCAATTCCTTAATTTCTATTAATATTCTTATTCTTTCCCATTACATATTTTTTCATTGCTTTTTTATCTTCTTTACACTTATTCCTATTTTCCGTCTGTTTGCTTGTCGATAGCGCCATCCCTCGCCTTCCACTCCAACTTCTTCCATATTCCCGCACTATTTCCTTCCCATATCTAACCTCTTCCACTTTTCCACGTGCCTTCTTCTTTGTATGCCTTTACCTGTTTTACTTTTCCCTTTTCTCACTTCTTCTCCACTACCTTCCTTACTGTTCTTTTGTTGTGCCTCGCCTCACTCTTTAACTCTTATTTTCCTTTCATTCAACTTTTCGCTTTCACTCATCCATGCACACGTCTCTCAGCCGGAAGTCCTCCACTTCTTAATTTAACTTATTAATTTAATTTAATTTGACATATATGTTGAACGTATAAGCAGATGTGAGATGTGACATTCATACTGAAACGTTACAACGTCTCACAGTGATCTAAAGCAACTATCTCCTGGTAATTGCGCTTTCTGTTGCAATTTGCATTAGCATCGCTTAACAGCCTCGATCACGCCTGGATTTGATTTAATCCCACTCGATACGTCGTGACGCGTCCGCGACTTAATCCGCTATTTATCACCGTCATCGGGTGGTGTGTTAGCGGCGACGTTCGACAATCAAGGGCCGGAGGCATTAATAAAATAACGCAGTCACGGATTTCTAAGCACTCGACTGTTCACAGGGGGAGACACGAATGGTAGTAGACAGTAGGTATCCGAGGGTGGCGACGATGAAACTCCTATCGGACCTTATGTTCGCGCATTGTGACTTTTCGTCGGGAGACAGAATGCAGAGAGAGAAAGAGAGAAGAGAAGCGTGCTGGTCCGACATAATTGGCAAGGGCGCGCGGCGATATTTATTATACGTCCCGGAACGGCAAAAAGGAAGATCGTAATGGCCAACTGGGGTATAAACTGCACCGTCCTCTTTGCGGTTCGTTAAACGGAGCGCCTTCGTCGAGAAAGGGTCGAGCAGAAGATGTCTCTAAATCGATCGCGATCTTTTTCGATATCGTCTCCTTTAGTTACAGGGCTGTGATATTCATTGCCAATGCTGTGAAAATCTCTATAATTCACATTACGTATACTGTAGATTTTCAATAGTGGCAGTGAATATCAGAATTGAGAAGTAATCTGTTACTTGTAAATAATAATTTCACTTTAAAATTAATTACGTATTTTATTTTAGTATTGCAAAAACGTAGCGAAAAAGTAACGAACTGTTATTTTCTTATTAACGATAATGGTAATGAGTTACTTTCTAACATTAGTAACGAGTAACGAGTTACTTTTACCAAAAGTAACTCGTTACTTTTTTTAAATAACCTTCCCCCTCCCCGGAGATCTCTAGTGAATATCGGAACGTAGCCCAGCCAAGCCGCGATGCAGATGAAGGTGAGTGGTCCTCCGTTATAGAACACGAACCCGCGAAAAGCCCAGCCGGCAAATAAATTCCAATTGTGGAATGGAAGCGCCGCTAATTTTTTAATTGAGTTTACACGAGCTTACGTCGTTCGTTCCCGCTGGCGCGAGAAGTTACCTCTCCGGCTCGAAGGTGCACTACGTCCGATTGTGAGCGCCGCTACCTCGCCGACTGACTGAATGTAACGTTTGTTTGTCTTCATTGCTGCGACGAAGTATTCTCGGCTCGGTCGAAAGCGCCTCGCAAATCGGTCCTATCCCCTCGCAAATCCGCGTTAAGCGGATTTAATTTGCGTCACGGGCGAACAGAGAAACGCGCGCGCCCTCTTTAATTGTCTTGAATGTTGCCATTGACGTGGCACACTCCTTTGCGATGTCGGAAAAGTACCTGTCACTTTATGCACGTGCGCGAAAAATGTCCTAATAGTTGCTTCAGCGCGATGACTATACTGTCGGATGTATCCAGCAAACAATATACCAAGCAACAATGGTATTACATTAACCTCTTCAATGATAATTTAAAATAATCCCCTCTAGTTTATTTTTAATAAATAAGCATATCTCTAAAGTGATTTTCTTTTCTCGTTATTTTTTTTAAAGAATTTTGACAAAAATATATAAAATTTGTAACTCTCTACCACACGAGTTAAAAAAAATACAATGATTTTTAGCACGAAATTTTTTCGAGCATGTCAGTTAAGGGATTAATATCACACTTAACATGTAAATGTTACATATAATATATATTGAAGTTATAATATATCGTTGACTGGGAAATTATAACATTGATACAATCTTAGCTCAAACAGCATAAATCTCTCAAATACTTCTTAGATACGTCCTAAAGATATATCTGAAACAAATAGGATATTTTTTAGACGTCTCCAAGTTGTCTCTTAGACATTTATGCTGTATGGGACTGCTACTTGGTGTTAACTTGAGGTACATATTATTCTGGACCCCTTAAGTTTCACAATTTGACCGATAAAAACGGACGATAACGCAAAGTGATCCGGATAAAATAATGACGATCATTCTCTTCGACTTCGAAGCAATGGTCATTTCTCTGGCTTTGTTATTCCCAGCCGGGAACTCGAACGCGTAGAACTGCGATATTCTGTAGTCGCGTAAGTCCAAATCTACGCGCGCGCGTACTCTCACCCTCTTTCATTCTCTCCCATCCTCTTTCACCCCGTCGCTCGTTCTCTCGCTCTCTTTCCCTCGCAATCGCTCACTCTGCCTCTCTTTCTCCCTCTCACCCTTTCTGTCTCGCTCGTGCGCGCTCGCGCGCGCGTAGGTCGAGTGCGGGTATAATAATAATGTTCGGTAAGTACGTGTTTGTAGTTACCCCTGAGGTGAGCCACCCCCGGAGAGGCAAAAGAGCCAAGCTCCGCCTTCGTCGGCATAGGGTTGGTTGTCACGGGGATGGGACACTCGGAGGGCGGTTCTTCGCCACCCTGCGTCCCGATTTAGCGCTCTCGTTCACGCGGGGTGCGCTCCGGACGCCGGGTCGAAGAGAACGACGTGGAAGAGACACGTCAAGTACGGCCCGAAAACACACCCCGTGCGGAGGACGACGGCCGAGAGCTCGCACGAGAGTAACATCAGCCCTAAACGTGTCACGCGACAGTGGGTCACGGCAGTGTTAGACGAGCACTGCTTCGTCGGGGCGCGCACAACTTCAACATCGTCGTGCCGTAATTAAGATCGTTTAAACGCTCTTAGCTAAAAAGGTCCAAGTAACGCTTTGTAAACAAGCGAGTCATCGTCGCGTTCGAAGACACGAGTTGCGTTGCAGTTGAAGAGACGCGAGTCTTCGCCGTGACAGAAGAAAAGGCTCGAAGAAACGAGTTTCCTAGTATCCGAGAAGAAACAAGTGCTCATCATAAACGGACAGTCGGAGGGAAACGAGTCGTAGCTGAAGGTAACGATCTGTTCTTGAAGAAGGGATCCTGGATCATCCCCCAAGGATCGTGACTCGATTTTGTGAAAGAGGTCGACGACCCGCCCGGTCAACCGGCACCCGGACCGTGTCTTCAGGTATGTACCGCTTCGTTCAAGCTCTTATCGCTTATCACCACGTGCTTTCGTATTTAAAGAGCTGAATCGTGCGTACTTGGCGACACATTCGAGCCCCACTGCTGGTACCGAATCAGTGTCGCGCCTCCCTTCGGGGCGCTGTTAAATAAATTGATAGTCGATTCACGGTTCCAAGCAAACTGGTCCCGCGGGAATACACGGGGTCGTTGCGACGCGGAGGGGTGCCGAGCGAACGAACAAACACCATAAACTGCTTGCGCACGGGATTAGCCGCTGCTAGTTCGTCTTACGAGAAGAATGCCCGACGCGATAACTCACGCTGAATGGCAGCTTTATTATGTTACGAGTACACACTTGTAAGATCGAAGTCATGACATACCTGTGCCGGGTCAGCGCTATATGTGCGCGAATCACGCGTGCTCGGTTATTCTCGCTTCATCGGGAAATCAGTGGATGATAGTAGTGGGAAGTGAACGAGGGAAACGGCCCAATCGAAATTAACGCATAGGAAAAGTCCTGTTCACGTGGAATCGAAATTAGCGCGTGGAGAATATCCAGTTTAGACCGAATTAACATGTAAGAAATGTCACGTTTAAAGCGATAATTGATAATCACGACGATTATCCGGACTCAGGTGGTGCTGGGGGAGTTTCGGGAAGTTCGCTGATCGCTCGGGAAAACGTGTCTCGTCTAATTTTTTGCTTGGCTACGCCTGCACGATTTATAGCGCCGCCGGGCTTCAGGTTTCGCTTAAGTGGGAACTTACTTTGGAAAATCGGGAGATACGGGCGCCGTCCTGGAACTTTGAGCGACTGATATGAATTTAAGTAGCACTCTCTGTGAAGCGAGGAATATGTTATTTCTCAATATGCGCGAATCGAATCGCATCCGTAGGGTTATCCTTTTTCCATATGTGTGCATGCATTCTTTGGTGATTCCGTATTTCTCACGAAAAAACAAACGTTTAATTAACGCCGATCCATATAACGTAAAAATAAATAATTCGTAGAACTGGATGCATCAAATAACAATTACAAAAATAGATCGAGCTGGTAAAACCAAAAGACCCTTTTTCCTAGGTGGATCTAAGTACTTATGACGATCAGAGAGTGCATTCTGGTTATTAAAATTATTATCCGAGTGGCATTTAATCTCCTGATCCCCTCTCGGCGCACTTCGATAGCAGCCCGCGGCATCGTGCGTCTCCTTCTCTCTTTCTCTCTCTCTTTTGCTCCCCTCTCTCATTCTCTCTCCGATGCCACTCTATATGATAACATTTTAACGCGCACGTAGATACAAAGGCAAACAGATTAATATACTACTGTCAAAGCTGGTACTTCGTCGCGGGAAGCATTAAGAATTAACGGCATATTACGTTATATATTAATACAGGAGAGCCCTTATGGGGACGCACGCAACTCCAACTACTGGCCATTGTCGTTTCCCGCAAATTCACGTGAAATTATTTCAATTGACATTACGATTACATTATGATTACCTGAAAGGATCTTCCTCAACGCGTTCCCGTTTGCTCCCTTTTAGAGAATCGCACACGCGCGCTTGCATTCGCATATCTCCTCGTGATAAAATCTATCGCTACTACTTGCACGAATGTTTTTCACACGAGAGAATCCAATTTCGCGATGCACACATTTGACGATGTAAATCCGATGAGCGAATAAAAATGATTTTGTATGCCGGAGGGACTCATGGACAAAACGAGCGCGGCACAATTGACCGGCGTTATTTGTAATGGTAATTTTTGGCCAGTCGGGGCAGATATTGAGCTTTACGCAAATTTGTCGAATCACGAGAGGCCCCCGGGAGATCTTTGATTGCGAGCTCGACGGGATTTTCGCGTGATCGAACTAATCGAGAGACAAAATTAAACTCGACAGTCGGATCGATGGATTAATTGCGAGCGTTAAGCGCAATCACCGGCGACCGGGCGACGCGATGACGTCGACGTTATTAATGCTGATTACATCGCGCTTCGTTGTCCAGCCAAATTACATAGCACGCTCGCTGTCCCAATTTACATCTCTGCGGAGGAAACATCGGAGCTGTTAGGGAAAGAGGGGAAAGGGACGGATGAGGAAAAGCGGTCGTTCATAAATTATGCGAAAAATTCGAGAGGCGCGTACAATTACCGAGACAGAGAAAGAAGATGAGTATCGCGCTCTTTTACGCAAGACAGAGAACTTGGGTTGAGAGAAAAGTATGCAGGGGACAGTTTGAGCGAAAGAGGCTGGGGGGGAGAGAGAGAGAGAGAAAGAGAGAGAGAGAGAGAGATAGAACCTGTAGGGGTAGGGGATAGTCATGATGGAAGGACGGAGATTTAACAACGTTACAATGAACGAATGAGCGAGCGAGAAAGAGAAAGAGCGAGAGAGCAAGCGAGAACTGCCGTCGTTTCCCCGGCCGCGCCGCGCTGCGTCGGCGGAGCCCCGGGATCGCAGATTGAATTGTAAAATAACCGGGAGGGGAACAATGCGCCCCAGTACAACATTGTGTTTGCATTTAAATAATCCGCGAGCCCGCGGGTACGTAATCCTGAGAGCGCCGCGACTTCTCTCTCTCTCTCTCTCTCTCTCTCTCTCTCTCTCTCTCTCTCTCTCTTTGTCTCTTTTCCTCTCTTTCTCTCTCTGTATCTCTATCTCTCTTTTTGTCATCTCTCTAACTCGTGTACGCGCAATCCTCGAGTGTAGCCCTCGGAGAACGACTCGTGGGCGACATTTCCGTACAATCGCGTCTGAATAGGAAACGGTATCGGAATCGTAGTACTCGGACGCGCGATCGCACTATTAAATTTAATTCAGCTCGCGACTGGCGTTAAACCCGCTCTATAATTCGGGACGATATAGCTGAAGCGTAATTGGGATTAATTAAAAAAGAGGAAGAAAGTCCTTGGAAAGGCCTGGGGGTTTATTTTTTCTTTCTTTTTCTTCTATTGATTTTTACTTCTGCGAGAAGGGCGCGGATGAAAATTCAAAGAATTATTTCTCACTAGCAATGTTTCGTAAGGGGAGCGGGAAGAAATGTTTAGAATGTTGAATTCTTTACATAATCGCCCTAAATTAGACCACGTTTCCTAAAGGCACTCTGGCGAACTTTTTAGTGCGGAGGATAGTTAAGCGGCCTTCGTTAAGTCGACGAACGAGTATCTCGCGATCGTTGATGGCGAACGAGCGAGCGAGCGAGCGGACGGGCGGGCGGGCGGG